ATATATATATTAGAAATTTGGCTTCATAAAACTAATCAAAAATCTTTGAAAAATCAATGGTGTGAATACTTTTCATAGGCACTTTATACAAAGAGTTTTTGAAGGTAGTGAGAGCGTCCTGTACCCAGACAGGGAGTTGTTTACAGAGGAGAGGGGGCCATTCTAGATTTTAAAACTTCTGGGAAGTACCAGGATCTCTGTGTCCTGAGAGCAAAGTGTTCTTGTCAGGTTGTAGGGGACAGTGATCTGCTTTAAATATCTTGGAGCGCAGCCATTCATGACTTCATGAGGAAAGAGGAGGATTTTGAATGAATTGTATTCTGCTGTTCAGAGCGCCAGAGCAGAGGGGCTAAAACAGGAGAAATATAATCTCTCTAGAAGTACCTGCAGCACTCGAGCTGCAGCGTTCTGAGCCAGCTGTAAGATTTTCAAAGAGGTTTTTGGACAACCAGCTCTAAAGATGTTACAGTCGTCAAGTCTGCAAGTGAAGAATGCATGGACACATTACACTGACGACTGTTTCATATAGACTTGTTTAATGTGTAAGTTAAAGTGTAGGTCTTTGTCACAGAGGTGTTAGAAGATGTGACAATTCCTCAAGAGAACCTTAAATAGATGTCTTGTTCTTTATCTCTGAGGCAAGCTTACAAATATTTATAACATATAAACTTGAGCCACTTCAAACTGAAAAAAAAAAAAACATTTGTGTCTGCAGGGAAGTAACCAAACTTGCAGGGGTAAATTATGATCATGAAAACAAAAAGCATTTAATTTTTTTTTCATTCAACCTTTATTTAGACAGGTAAATCCCATTGAGCCTCGAGGACTCATTTACAAGAGAGACCTGATTTCAACAAAGAATGATGACAACAATGGACAACAGCGACAACAATAGACAGTTATAAAAAGTCATACTCATTTCTTTTTTGTTGTTGTTTAAATGATGCAAAATGAAACCCCCCAAACTTCCCTATTAAGATCAAAGTTCATGCTCAATGATCCAGGTATAAAATCCAACAAAGTTCAGTCAGGTCATTTGGATGGTTGCTTTTTTTATTTTTTTTGTTGAGAGACGTTTCGCCCTCCATCCAAAGAACTTCATCAGTCCAAGGAGCGACAACAAACTCAGTCCCACAAGCAACTCTCTCAGTGGACCAACCAGTTTGATGGTGATAAGATGGTTTCTGGAGTCCGCCCTCTCCCCCGTGAACTCCTCTGAGGCAGCCATAATCAAAGTGGTTCAAAACGTCAAAGTTCATGCTCAATAATCCAGGTAAAACATCAAACTAATTTCAGTCCGATCATCTGGATGTTTTTTATTTTTTATTTTTTTTGTTGAGACATTTCATCCTTCGTCCAAAGGACTTCATCAGGGTTCCCTATTAAGACTTTTCTTACATAAAATCAAGCTTGGACCAGTGAACACTTGAACTTCTTTATTTTTTAATTGCAGCTCTTATTCTGTGCACAATATATTACGTTACATTTATCTGGACAGGTCCTGCTGTTAATAATGATTAGGGTAGTGATAATAACAATAACTATTAGAAAATCAGTATCCATTTTTAAAGAGATACTATGATTGTTGTCATTTATACTTTTGTTGACTTGTCAGTAACAAACGTAAAACAGATGGTGGTTTAATATATAATTTAATTATATATAATTCTAAATATTATTTATATATATATATATATATAGTTTAATGGTTTGCTCTGAGGCAGCACGGTGGCGCAACTGGTAGAGCTGCTGCCTCTCAGCGAGCAGGTCCCTGGTTCAAACCCCGGTCCAGGGGCCTTCTGGGTGGAGTTTGCATGTTCTCTCCGTGCATGCATGGGTTTTCTCCGGGTACTCCGGTTTCCTCCCACAGACCAAAAACATGCATGTTAGGCTGATTGGTAACTCTAAATTGTCCCTAGGTGTGAGTGAGAGAGTGAATGGTTGTTTGTCTTGTTTGTCTCTATGTGGCCCTGTGATGGACTTGCGACCTGTCCAGGGTGTACCCCGCCCCTCGCACAGTGATTGCTGGACATGGGCACCAGTGACCCCCGTGACCCAAAATGGAATAAACGGGTAAAGAAAATGGATGGATGGATGGGTTTGCTCTGAGTCTTTGTTGCTTCATGTTTCTACTGCTGTGAGATGGTGACACCTCCTGGTGAGTTTTTCTCACTGATTCTCCCACGTCTCAGTTTTGTGCTCTAGATGGCAGACTCAGTCCAAGACCCCACACCTGACCTCAGGTCTGTCTTGTGTCCTCTGCTCAGGACCTTCCTTCCTCTTCACAGCACGTGTCTGTCCTCCCACAGGTTCAAACACATCCTGTTGAATCTTCGTGCTTTGATTTGTGATATTTTAGACCTGACTGTGTCTTTGATGCAGCTGCTCCATGAGATGGTGAGTGAAGTGAAACACTGCCTCTTTGACTCCTTACAGACTGAATCAGGCTTCAGTTCTGGAGAATGGGTTTGAACAGTTAAATCTGATCATTCTTTTAGGAGTGTTGAGGTATAAGACAAATGAATACGGCGTAAAAATAAAATGTGTTTTATAAAACGTTATGTTTTTTTTGAGGTCTTGTCTTAACATTTTATTTTATTTTTGGCTTAACTTGCATTTTCTGTCTTGTTATTGTGGTGCCTATAATATTTATTTTCTGTTTGCTGTGTCTCATCCTGTCTTTGTGTCTCTGTGTGTGCTGTCTGTTAACAAAATATCTTGTGAACCACGGGACAAATGTCAGTGAAACACACCGAGAGTAATAATTAGATGAACATCTACAACTGATTCATTTTTGGGGTCAACTCAATTCAATATGGCTGCCACAGCCAACTGGCCTTAAAAAAAAAACACCAAAATGCGTACAGTGCAGCCGATTTTACAGATGATGACCTAAAATGTGGTGTAGTAATAGCTGAGAGTTGTTCACAACACATACTCCAAGTGGCACTTTTTGCTCAAGATCTTTGCTTAAAACGTCAGAGTTATCTGTTTGAGTTAACCCTGTTTGTCTGTTAGCAAAATATCTCATGAGGCACAGGACAGATTTTTTCTAAGTAATCTTGTAATGTATATTTACAAATGATTAACATTTTGATCCAACTCAAGATGGCCACCACAGCTAATCTGCATTAACCACAACAGTTTTTATAACTTGGACAAATGTACAGATTTGAAGCTATAATTTGGTGTGGTAGGAACTGAGAGTGATTCACAACACATACTCTGCCTGTCTGCGTGCATCATGTTATTTTACTATCTAGGAATAAAAGGCTTTAAGTGCTTTAAATGTGTTTAGGAATATTATTATATTTTTGGTCCTGTTCTTTAATTTTCAGTCCGTTGTGTTCTCTAAATTGTTGTTTTATTTTAGTTTTTGTGCTTCGACATGTGGTTTTTGCTCTGTTCTTTGAAACGCTTCTTTTCCTTTGGTTTTTGTATTTTCACAAGATGTAAGTTTATGCGTCGTTTCAGGCCACCAGTGATTCAGCTCAGAGTTTTTGGGATGTTTAAAACTCTTGATTCCTGTCTGCCACGCTCAGTTCCACAGCTCACCCGCTGCACATGCATCCGTTCTCATTATTGCAGAATCACATTTCAAGCAGGCTTTTGAAGGTGGCATGATATGATCTCCACCACTAGATAAACAAGAGCTCGCGTCTGCATCTTTGGGCACGTCATTTCTCCAAAGGGGTGCAAGCTAACCCATGGCCTCTCTGCTCTGCCTCCACCGGTTGTAGCTTCTCTATTTTCAGGAGAAAATGTTTTCCATTCCTCGGCCAATGAATGCCACCTTTGTCCCTTCATCCTCCATCTTGTGTGAGAAAGCCTCGCCCCCCCTCGCTGCGCTCACCAAGCCTGCACAAACTTAACCTCTTCCCCCTCCACCTCACACAGGAAAAGAAACATACCGGCTCTGGTGCTTTTATTCAGCTCTGTAATCTGGATGTCTGGATAAGGCCTTAGGTGA